AGCATTACTTCCTTAGATCTAGACACTAGGCTCCTATTGATGCAGGCCAAAATCCCATTGGCTTTTTTTGCTACCACATCACATTGTTTAACTTGTTGTCCACGAGGACTCCAGGATCTTTTTCACACATACTGCTCTCGAGCCAGGCCTCATCGTCCCCCATTCCGTCTCTTTGCATTTCGTTTTTCCTGCCAAAGTGGAGTATCTTGCATTTGTCTGAACTTCATTTTGTTAGTTTTGGCCCATCTCTCCATGTGTAACTCATGACTTCCCAGCAAGATGTTTTAGTTCATGAGTAGTGCTGAGGAAAAAAAAACTTCTATTCAAACACACTTATGTTTTGCAGTTCTTCATATCTAACACAAAAAGGAGGAAATCTGGATCAGTCAGAAGCAGCCTCGGCTTTTGAGGCGACGCTGAGGATGGAAGGAGTTGAGCTGAAGGAGGAGTGGCAAGATGAAGATTTTCCAAGGTAAAGACTAGTTATGGCAAGGTGTGATTTGCTGTAAAACATGCTTGTCAGAATATTACATATTGTATATACTACTAGAGTATAAGATGTTCCGAATATAAGCCAAGACACCTAATTTTACCACAAAAAAACTGGGAAAAGCAGCAGCTACTGGTACATTTCAAAATAAAAATAAGATACCAATACAATTTATTTGTTTGTTTGTTTGTTTACAACATTTATATGCTCTCCTTCTCACCCCGAAGGGGACTCAGAGCAGCTTACAAGTTATATATATATATATATGTGTGTGTGTGTGTGTATATATATATATATACACACACACACACACATATACATACATATATGTATACACACACACACACACATATATATACACACACAAACTATATATTATACTAGCTGTCCCCTGCCACGCGTTGCTGTGGCCCAGTCTGTTGATCCAGAAAATAAAGTAATGAGAAAGTGTTGGTTTCTAATATATGTAGTTTCTTTATTTTTGTGGGTAAACAGTATTTCTTGCTGTTTCTTTGTAAGTGTTGATGTGCAGAGTGTCTGGTTTGCCCACTCTGGAACATGCAACATATAAATGTCCTTCTTCAGGGGTCCCTTTCAAATCTATGATACTATATCTGTGTGTTTGTGAATCATATCTATCCATATGTATGGCTGGATCTCTTTGTCAGGAGGGCTTTGATTACGTTTTCTTGCCCTGATGAAGGGAGTTGGACTTGATGGCCTTGAGTATTTTCTGTTGGTTATGTGAGTTCTGTGAAGTTTGCCCCAATTATGTCGTTGGTGGGGTTCAAAACGCTCTTTGATTGTAGGTGAACTATAAATCCCAGTAACTACAATCCCAAATGTCAAGGTCTATTTCCCCCAAACACCATTTGTGTTCATATTTGGGCATATGGAATATTCGTGCCAAGTTTTGTCCAGATCCATCATTGTTTGAGTCCACAGTGCTCTCTGGATGTAGGTGAACTACAACTCCCAAACTCAAGGTCAATGCCCACCAAACCCTTCCAGTATTTTCTGTTGGTCATGGGAGTTCTGTGTGCCAAGTTTGGTTCAATTCCATCGTTGATGGAGTTCAGAATGCTCTTTGATTGTTGGTGAACTATAAATCCCAGCAACTACAACTCCCAAATGACAAAATCATAATTTTTTGAGTGATGGTCACTCCTTGTGTTGTGAGACGTTTTGTTGCCAAATTTGGTGTGATTTCGTTCATTGGTTCTTTTGTTTTTAAGGTACTCATTATGCACATAGCATTTATATATATATAGATATAAATAATATAATCTATATATATATAAATGCTCTGTGCATAATGAGTACCTTAAAAACAAAAGAACCAATGAATGAAATCACACCAAATTTGGCAACAAAACATCTCACAACACAAGGAGTGACCATCACTCAAAAATTATGATTTTGTCATTTGGGAGTTGTAGTTGCTGGGATTTATAGTTCACCTACAATCAAAGAGCATGCTGAACCCCACAAACGACAGAATTGGGGCAAACTTCCCACACAGAACTCCCATACTTAAGGCCATCCAGTCCAACTCCCTTCACCAGGGCAAGAAAACGTAATCAAAGCCTCCCAACAAACAGCCATTGAGCCATAGATAGCGATAGATAGATATGATTCACACACACACAGATATAGTATCATATATTTAAAGGGACCCCTAAAGAAGGACAATTATATGTTGCATGTTCCACAGTGGGCAAATCAGACAATCTCCACATCAGCATTGACAAAGAAGCAGCAAGAAATACTGTTTACCCACAAGCATAAAAAAATTACATATATTAGAAACCAGTACTTTCTAATTACTTTATTTTCCAGATCACTAGACTGGGCCACAGCAACGCGTGGCAGGGGATGGCTAGTTTCAAAATAAAAAATAGATACCAATAAAACTTATTTATTTATAACATTTATATGCCGCCTTTCTCACACCGAAGGGGACTCAGACACACACATACATATACAATATTATATTATTAGCATAGTACAATATCAGTATTATATATTACTATATTGTACTATACCATTATATTTTAATATTATTAGTAATATTACATGTAATATAAATATATAATTATAATATTGTATTAATATTAGTAGTGTTATATTCAATGTGTCAAGACCCAGGCGGACCAGCAAGGCAAGACGGCAGTTAAGGAGTTAAACAAAGGTCTTTAATGTCCATTAACATAAGAAAAAGGGCTCTTAAATCAGAGCTGTAAACACAAAAGGGCTTGCAAGAATGTAAACAAACCAAGTCCCAGTCAGTCCTCGCTGGGAAAAGGAAAGCAACAAACACAGGCAGAACGCTTGATTTCAGCAGCAGAAACTCAGTCCGTTCTAAGTCCAAACAAAACAGCGAACAGGAATCCGCATGAGGAGCAGTCCAACGAAGTGTCCAAGGGTTAAGCAGAAGCGTAGAGTGGTCAGGCAGTCCGAGGGTCAGGACAGGAGATGAGACTCACAAATCCAGTTCCAGGCAGGGTCGTCCACACAAACAGGAATCCACGAAGCTGAAAGCAGGAACTCAGGGCAAGAGTTAAACACAAGGCACACGGTATCACGACACTTTGAACTCTGCAACTAGTCTACTCCCAAACTGCTCCTTAAATCTCATCCGAGTCGCTGGAGTTACTTTCAGGTGCGTCCATCTCCACAGGTGAATCCCGACTTCTCCATTGCTGCCATTCTGTACTTGGGACTGCATCCTGCAAAGTAGTATCTGAAACCCAAGTGTCAGTAAAACCCATGAACTCATCGCTAGAGGTGGGAGCATTAACCACATCTAGCACTTCCTGAACCTTGGTCCAATCCAGCTCTTCCTCTTCGCTGTCAAACTCCTCACAATCAGCTATATCTTTAAGGCGTTTAGAAACAGATTCCCCATCACTATCCGAGCTGCTTGCTACTCACTTTACACCGCGGTAATCCTCCACTTCCATTTCCTCGTGAGTAAACCCCTCGAAATCCTCCTCATCTGTAGGCTCTAAGAACAAGTCTCTAATACGCTTCAGCTGCTGCTGGGCGTCCTCTGCTTCCAAACGTCGCTTCCTTCTACTACTACTAGTAGGTACATGAGACAGACGCTGAATCACAACACATTGTTTTTGAACCAGCCTGGACACAGCATATTATTTGAGAACACAGAAATGCTGGACCACACCAACAACCACCATGTCAGACTACACAGAGAAGCCATTGAAATCCACAAGCATGTGGACAATTTCAACAGAAAGGAAGAGACCATGAAAATGAACAAAATCTGGCTACCAGTATTAAAAAACTCTAAAATTATAACAGCTAAACAACAGAGAGGAAAAAACCAGGCACAGATTAACACCTCCCAGCAACAGATTTTCCCAGGCTCAGGCAGGCCTTCAAATGCTAATGAAGGTGATCAGCTAAACATTTACACCTAACTGCAGCAGGGAAGAGCTCCTTGCCCCACCCCAGCCATTCCACAGATATATAAACCCATTTTTCCTACTTCCAACAGACCTCAACCTCTGAGGATGCTTGCCATAGATGCAGGCGAAACGTCAGGAGAAATGCCTCTAGAACATGGCTCTATAGCCCGAAAAAACCCACAAGAACCTATTGTTTTTGAATGTTTACATAAAACTGTAATTTAAGATAAGACTGTCCAACTCTGATTAAACCATTAATTCTTCAAGGTAAATGTGCTTACGGATCCTTCCAGTAATAAAGAGAGTAAAATAATAAATGTAATCATAACACTAGTAAAAGAGTAAAATAATACATGTAATAATAATACAGTAAAATAATACATCTAATAACAATAATAAATAGCGAAGGAGGAGGAGGAGGAGAAATAGCAAAATAATAAATAAACAGAGGCTGGATGGCCATCTGTTGGGGATGCTTTGAACACGATTGTCCTGCTTCTTAGCAGAGTGTTGGACTGGACGGCCCACGAGGTCTCTTCCAACTCTATGATTCTATGAATAGTAATAATAACAGAGTAAAATAATAAATAACTTTGACTCGAGTATAAGCCAAGGGAGGTTTTTACTTGAATATACGTGGTACCTTTTTAATGTTTAGCAGTCATAAGATGTACAACTGAGAAAGACTCTGCCTTTTTAAGTTTGAGTGCATTTGTATGGCAATTTGAAGATGGCTTTCTTTACCATAATGCTGGAGATGCCCTGCTTGATTTATCTCTCTAGCATGACAGCAGTAGAACATAGTGGAGGACTTAAGAGATTCCTAAAGAGAATATCAAAACTGCAGAAGCCATTGTGAAGGGAAGACCATTAATCCCTTTGTGCTGGCTGCTCCGAATAAGTGTCCGGGCATAAAAGTGTGTCCACACATAAAAAAGTGTGACAGTTCAAGGGAAAAGTGGGGAGAGGGGGAGAACGACATTCCTGTACCTCTTTCAAGCCTTTTCATCTCTGTATGTTGAGCCTTCTCAAATTTGGTCTTGATTTTTCATTCCAGGCCTCTGCCAGAAGATGATCACATGGAAGATTTGCCAGATTCTTCAGGAGAAGGGGACCAACCAGGTAAGATTTGGTCTAAACTAAGGGCTAAGAACCAATTCCAGCCCCTGTGGGCCATATGTTTTCTTCATTTTCTTCTGAAATGGTAACTAGATGTGGCATTGTCACAATTTTTATTCGAACTCCAGTGGAAACTGATTGACTTTCTGTGTGATTTTAGTCTAAAATTGCCTTTTAAAGTGCCCCACTTTTTCTTTTAGAAGGTAGGGCAGTAGCAGGATTCAAAACGATCTTGACAGATTAGAGAGATGGGCCAAAACTAACAAAATGAAGTTCAACAGTGACAAATGCAAGATACTCCACTTTGGCAGGAAAAACGAAATGCAAAGATACAGAATGGGGACGCCCGGCTCGAGAGCAGTACGTGTGAAAAAGATCTTGGAGTCCTCGTGGACAACAAGTTAAACATGAGCCAACAATGTGATGTGGCAGCAAAAAAGCCAATGGGATTTTGGCCTGCATCAATAGGAGCATAGTGTCTAGATCTAAGAAAGTAGTGCTACCCCTATATTCTGCTTTGGTTAGACCACATCTGGAATATTGTGTCCAATTCTGGGCTCCACAATTGAAGAGAGATATTGACAAGCTGGAATGTGTCCAGAGGAGAGCGACTAAAGATCAAGGGTCTGGAGAACAAGCCCAATGAGGAGCAGCTTAAGGAGCTGGGCATGTTTAGCCTGAAGAAGAGAAGGCTGAGAGGAGATATGATAGCCATGTATAAATATGTGAGAGGAAGTCACAGGGAGGAGGGAGCAAGCTTGTTTCTGCTTCCCTGGAGACTAGGACGCAGAACAATGGCTTCAAACTACAAGAAAGGAGATTCCATCTGAACATTAGGAAGAACTTCCTGACTGTGAGAGCCGTTCAGCAGTGGAACTCTCTGCCCCAGAGTGTGGTGGAGGCTCCTTTGGAAGCTTTTAAACAGGGGCTGGATGGCCATCTGTCAGGGGTGCTTTGAATGCAATATTCCTGCTTCTTGGCAGAATGGGGTTGGACTGGATGGCCCAGGAGGTCTCTTCCAACTCTTTGATTCTATGATATGTTTCCTTTGTTTTCTTCTAAAATGGTAACTAGATGTGGCATTGTCACAATTTTTATTCGAACTCCAATGGAAACTGATTGATTTTCTGTGTGCCCCACTTTTTCTTTTTAGAAGGTAGGGCCGGGCTGTAGCACAGCTGGTTAATCCCTAGCAGTAATAGATCTTTCCCAACCAAAAGGTGGGCAGTTTGAGTCCAGGTCGGGGTGAGCACCCAACCTTCAGCCTAGGTTAATGTAATAATAACAATATTATTATTATGTAATCTGTATAAATAAAATGTAATGTTCATTTGTGGGATTAACATAACACAAAAACCACTGGATGAATTGACACCAAATTTGGACACAAGACACCTATCAGGCCAATGAGTGACCATCACTCATAAAAACACTAAAAACACAGCAGAAGAGTTTTCTAAGATCTACAGAGACACTTGCTGGAACACCTCAGCAAGCGAAAGACCAAAAGTGGCAGGCTCAAACCCAGATCCTCAATCAATGGCTGATACCAAATGAGAGACTCCCCCCTGGGCACACAGAAGGTGGGGCGACTTGGAAGGCTGCGCTCCAGCACCACGAGATGCAGAGCCAACCTTAAGAAATGGGGCTAAAAAGTGGAATCCACGACATGCGAGTGTGGAGAAGAGCAAACTACAGACCATCTGCTGCAATGCAACCAGATCCCTGCTACATGCACAATGGAGGACGTTCTTGTGGCAACACCAGAGGCACTCCAAGTGGCCAGATACTGGTCAAAGGACATTTAATAGAATACAAAGTCTGCAAATTTTGTGTTTTGTTTGTTTGTTGGTCTGTTAAAAAATGCAATGCAACTGTCTGGTCTGCCCCTGACACAATAAATAAATAGATTTTGCCTCTAGAACATGGCTCTATAGCCCGAAAAAACCCCCAAGAACCTAATAAATAAATAAATAAATATTATTATTATATTGTACTATATTGTTATACCACAATATATAGAATCATAGAATCAAAGAGTTGGAAGAGACCTCATGGGTCATCCAGTCCAACCCCCTGCCAAGAAGCAGGAAAATTGCATTCAAAGTACCCCGGACAGATGGCCATCCAAACTCTATTTAAAAGCTTTCAAAAAAGGAGCCTCTACCACACTCCTGGGCAGAGAGTTCCACTGCTGAACAGCTCTCACAGTCAGGAAGTTCTTCCTCATGTTCAGATGGAATCTCCTTTCTTGTAGTTTGAAGCCATTGTTTCGCATCCTAGTCTCCAGAGAAGCACAAAACAAGCTTGCTCCCTCCTCCCTGTGGCTTCCTCTCACATATTTATACATGGCTATCATATCTCCTCTCAGCCTTCTCTTCTTCAGGCTAAACATGCCCAGCTCCTTAAGCCGCTCCTCATAGGGCTTGTTCTCCAGACCCTTGATCATTTTATTCGCCCTCCTCTGGACACATTCCAGCTTGTCAATATCTCTCTTGAATTGTGGTGCCCAGAATTGGACACAATATTCCATATATAAGCACTATCAGTATATTATACTGTTAATATTATATATGTTGTACTGTATCATAAGTTGTAGTATATAGAATATATTATACAACAATAGTAATATTATATATAATATAATAGTATTCTTGCATTACAATGTTATTATTTCTATATATTATTATGTTGCATTATTATTACATCATGCAAATATGGCATTATTATTACATTATGCAAATATGGCATTGTTAATAATATTGAATACCAAGTCTGCAAATTTTGTGTTTTTTTGTTTGTCTGTTTTTTAATGCAATACAACTGTTTTGGTTCGCTCCTGACACGATAAATAAATAAGTAGAGTAAAATAATACAAGTTATAAAAATAATAACAACAGAGTAAAATAATAACCTTGACTCAATTATAAGCCATGGGGGGCTTTTTCAGCCTAAAAAAAGGACTGAAAACTTGGTTTATACTCAAGTATATATGGTAGTTTCCATTCAGGGTTCTCTGATTTTCCCCTCTTCTTGTCCAATTAGAAGTGAATGGCAACAAAGTTAAGAAGAAACTAATTGTGCCAAATATCACTCTAGCTCTGGATCAGAGCGCGGACTCTATTTTGTCCGACTTCGACGATAGCAAAGATATCGATCTGGATGATATCGACACACCATCTGAAAACAGCAATGAGTTCGAATGGGAAGGTAAGGTGCTGTATTTCTAAGCCTTAGGTGTACGTTTGTTCCCTGCAACTCAGCCAGCGTTATTGGATTGTGGCACAAATAGTTGGTGTCACTTTGGTGTCCAGTTATTTGCAAGAAAGACAGGATATAAACAAAAATTAAGGCAAGCCAATGCTGTTTGTTTCTTCTGCAGCCTTTAGTAGAGACATGTGCAAGGCTGTTATAGTCTCTCCAAAACAAATTGTTTGCAGCACCTGCCCACCGTGTCCTTTTCTGTGGCCCTCCTCCAGATGCTGGACCACAACTCCTGTAGATGTCTTGACTAGAACAGATGGGAGTTGGAATACAGGAACATCTGGAAGGCTGCACTTTGGATTGAGATATATGACTTGTGGGTGCAACATTCAAAACATCCTTTGACCTTTCCCCCAACATTAGAGCCACAAGTTCCTTTTGGCTACAATTCCCATTTTTTCCAGATAGTCAAAAGTGATGGGAGTTCTTATTCAATAACATCTGGGGACTCAACATTGGTTGAAATCTAAAGAGCACTGATGACTATCTTTAAAAATTATAGTTTTCCCTCTATCTCCACAGATTCTCCATCCATTGATTCAATGGCCATTTGAAGGCCAGCATAATAAGAGCAGTGTTTCTCAATCTTCCTGATGCCGAGACCTCTTAATGCACTCCCTCATGTTGTGGTGACCCCCAACCATAAAGTTAATTCCATTGCTACTTCATAACTGTAATTTTGCTCCTCTTATGAATTGTAATGTAAATATCTGATATTATTTATTTTTTACTATATTTGTATACTGCTTTTCTCAGCCCTCGGGCGACTCAAAGCGGTTAACAATAGCAAAATTCAATGCTCAGAGCAACATAAAACAGTTAAAAACAATTAAAACTGTAGCATATTAAACAATCAATTATACATCAATAAACATCTCGTCTCATGATTAGAATCAAGATCCAGTTTCATCATCCAATTGTTCCATATTCCTATGTTCATTACACTGCCTATTCAAAGGCCTGCTCGAACAACCAGGTCTTCACTTCCCTCCGGAATGATAACAAGGAGGGGGCCGATCTAATATCTGTAGGAAGGGCGTTCCACCACTGAGAAGGCCCTGTCTCTCATCCCCGCCAGACGTACTTGTGACGCAGGCAGAACCAAGAGCAGGGCCTCCCCAGACGATCTTAACACCTAGCTGGTTCATAGGAGGAGATGCGCTCGGACAGGTAAGTTGGGCCAGAACTACTTAGGGCTTTACCATTTAGGGCCAGCACTTTGAATTGTGCCCGGTAGCAAATGCAGAATGTATTTTCATTCACTAGACCAAATCTGGCACAAATACCCAATATGCCCAAATTTGAATACTGGTGGTGTTGGAAGGGGATTGACTTTATCATTTGGGAATTTATAGTTCACCTACAATCAAATTGCATTCAGGACTCTGCCAACGATGGAATTGAACCAGACTTGGCACATAGAACTCTCAAGACCAACAGAAAATACTGGATGGGTTTGGTGGGCATTGACCTTGACTTTTGGAGTTCTAGTTCACCTATATCCTGAGAGCACTGTGAACTCAAACAATGATGGATCTGGACCAAATTTAGCACAAATACTCAATATGCCCAAAGGTTAACACCAGTGGAGTTTGGGGAAAATAGATTTTGACATTTGGAAGTTGTAGTTGCTGGAATTTATAGCTCACCTACAATCAAAGACCATTCTGAAACCCACCAACCATAGAATCTGGCCAATCTTCCCAAACAGAATCCCCACAACCAACAGAAAAAAACCTGTGTTTTCTGACCATTCTGAACCCTACCAATGATAGAATTGGGCCAAACTTCCCACATTGAACTGCCATGTCTTGAAAGGACTCACTGGCGCGACCCTCCATCCAGCCTTGCTGGCATATGCACACCATGCTGCCATGCGCCAAGCATACCTGCTCTCCCCTCCTCGCTAGGAGTCTCAGAAACAGCCCTCCCCTTGCCTGACAGGCCAGCCAATCACAGCAGAGGAGGGCTTTTGGTGGGAGGGTTCATTGTTTATTTCCAAAAAGGAAGAGAAGGGCAGGCGGAGAGATCTTCAGCCTTCTCTGCCAAAGGGATTCCTAAGACCACCATAAATATATAATTTCCCTCCAGGACTTTAAGGTCGTCTGGGGAGGCCCTGCTCTCGGTCCCGCCTTCGTCACAAGTACGGCTGGCAGGAACAAGAGACAGGGCCTTCTCAGTGGTGGCCCCTCAGCTATGGAACGCCCTCCCTAAAGATATCATGTCGGCTGCCTCCCTTTTAACATTTCAAGCAGGCATCCTTTGCGCTCTCGCCGGCCAGCAAGGGCGTGGGGCAGAAAAGTAGACAAAACGTCAGGAGAGAATGCTTCTGGAATATCTTCCTCAAGCCCCCCCACACATATGCCTGCATCGAGTCTTGGCTTTGTTTTGTGTAGTGGGAGACTGAATGTGTGTGAGTGGGGGGGGGGGGGTAGAGCACATGCAGCAGAGAAAATTTGTGTTTTAATGTTTGCATATTTTTAGGTTTTAAATTAAATTCGAAAATATTGCAACGCTTAAGCGGCTGAGGGGGAAAGGAAGGGGCCTGGGGCTGTTAGGAATTGTGGGAGTTGGAGTCCAAAACACCTGGCCCAGGTTGGCCCAGGCCTGGTATAGAGGAAGAATGTTTATGTGTGTGAGAAAGACTTTGGCGCGCACGAGTGCGTGAAAAGAGGGCCCCTACATCTCCCCTAAATCAGTGTCAGTTCCTCCCAAACCCCTCCAGTATTTTTTGTTTGACATGGGAGTTCTGTGTGGAGGTCTCAGTGGTCTGTGGAAGTCAGAGCTGAATCGGTTGAAGGTACTGCAAATCCCATCATCTGTTTTCCATACTCCCCCAAACATATTTTTTTCTGATTAATCACGATGCTTTCATTGTGTTGAATTTGTAACAATGAAAACACATCCTGCATATCACATATTTACATTACGATTCGTAACAGTAGCAAAATTACAGTTATAAAAGGAGCAACGAAAATAATTTTATGGTTGGGGGTCACCACAACATGAGGAAGCATATTTAGGGGTCACGGTGTTAGAAAGGTCGAGAACCACTGTGTTATGCAGTTATGCAAGCCTTTCTTTCTGCGTCAGAAACCCCCTCACCCCCCAAGTGCTTAGAATTGTACATCATTGGAATAAGGTTTCTGTCTCTTCTCTTCTCTTTAATGCGGCTGTCTGCGTTTTCCCGGAAGGATAGTTTCCATTAACAGCTTCTGTCTTGGAAACAAACTACTAACATGCTGCGGTAGTTTTCCCACCCCTCTGTGGTAAGGTTTGTGCTACTAAAATTTAATTTTGACAAAGCCCATGAAGATGATCTGTAACCTTTTGGGCGCTCCCAAGATTCTGATTCAAACATCTGTTGCATGGCTGTCAGAAATCAATGTATGGAAATGATTCAAATGTGTAAATGGCGGGGCGGTTGTAGGAAAAGGTAAGAGATTGAGGGCCGTTGTCTGATCAAGGGGCTTTGGCGACATTCTAATCCGAGATATCAGTATTGATTTATTTAAATAAAGGATGCTGAATACGTCAGTATGAGGGGCGTTCATGAAAGATTTCCCCTGACCCACTTCCTGCGGACTGAGAGCAATGAAACTTGGCCCATTTCTAAGTCCTTCTCTCCACTTTTTTGTGTGTTAGGAGCAACTTGAGAAACTTCAAGTCGCTTCTGGTGTGAGAGAATTGGCCGTCTGCAAGGATGTTGTCCAGGGGACGCCTGGATGTTTTGATGTTTTATCATCCTTGTGGGAGGCTTCTCACATGCCCCCGCATGAGGAGCTGGAGCTGATAGAGGGAGCTCATCCACGCTCTCCCTGGATTCGAACCTGTGACCTGTCGGCCTTCAGTCCTGCTGGCACAGGGGTTTAACCCACTGCGCCACTGGGGGCTCCTTACTGGAGCATAATTAGACATAAATGAATATATGGAATGACTAACAATGCAACTGGACAACGATTTTTGTAAAGAGACGCCGAGAATCTTTTTTTTTTTTACAGATATTTGCTTTTTATATTACACTAGCTGTACCCACCGCGCATTGCTGTGGCCCACCTTCCCTCCCTCTTTCTCTCCTTCCTTCCTTCCCTTCCCTTCCATCCCTCTCTCCCTCCCTCCTTTTCTCTTTTTCTTTTCTTTCTTCTTTCTTCCTTCTCTACCTATTTCTTTTCTCACTTCCTTTGCTCTTTGGTTCCATCCTTCCTTGTCTCTTTCCTTCCTTCCCTCCCTCTTTGGTTCCTTCTCTCCTTCCTTTCCTCTTTCACTTTTTTATTTCCATCCCTCCTTCCTTCCTTCCTTCCTTCCTTCCTTCCTTCCTTCCTTCCTTCCTTCCTTCCTTCCTCCCTCCCTCCCTCCCTCCCTCCTCTTTCTTTCTTTCTTTCTTTCTTTCTTTCTTTCTTTCTTTCTTTCTTTCGTTCCTTCTCTCCTTCCTTCCCTCTTTCACATTTTTATTTCCTTCCCTCCTTCCTTCTTTCCTTCCCTCCCTCTTTCTCTCTTTCGTTCCTTCTCTCCTTCCTTTCCTCTTTCACTTTTTTATTTCCTTCCCTCCTTCCTTCCTTCCCTCCCTCTTTCTTTCGTTCCTTCTCCTTCCCTCTTTCACTTTTTTATTTCCATCCCTCCTTCCTTCCCTCCCCCTTTCTCTCTTTCGTTCCTTCTCTCCTTCCTTCCTTCCTTCCCTTCCTCCCTCCCTTTCTCTTTTTCTCTCCTTTCTTCTTTCTTCCTTCTCTACCTGTTTCTTTTCTCGCTTCCTTTGCTCTTTGGTTCCATCCTTCCTTGTCTCTTTCCTTCCTTCCTTCCCTCCCTCTTCCTCTCCTTCTTTCCTTCCCTCTTTCACTTTTTTATTTCCTTCTCCCTTTCCTTCATTCTCTACCTTTCTTTATTTTGTTCCTTCTCTCCTTCCCTCCCTCTTTCCCTCTTTCTCTCTCTCCACAAGAGTTTGACCAGCAGGGGCTCGGTGCCACTGAGGGACACACACTTCTCCCATTTTTTGAAGCAACTGTCAACACCTCGCTTGTAGAAGTCAAAAGGTTGCTCAAAAAGCCATGTTGTGACTTCAGAAATCAGAGTCTCATCACCTGAAAAATGCTGGCCCTTCAAAAATAACTTCCTTGTTGGAAAGAGGTGGAAGAGAGGGGCCAGGAAAGCAGTTCCATCTTGCCTCCAGTGTCATCAGTTGCGACCCCGCCCCCCCAGCACCAACTGCTGCTCTGAGATTAGAGTGAAGAGAGGGGCCGGGAAGGCAGTTCCATCTTGTCTCCTGCACTGTGCTTATAATCTATATATATAAAAATGGAAAGGCCATTCAACGGGACAGCAAAACGTGAAAAAACCCCAACGAAAACTCACCAAATTTGCCATGCACATACCTCAACCCACAAGGTATGCACAACGCGAATCAAAATTCCAAACAACATTTCAACAAACTCACAATTACAAAAACCAACTGAGCATGCAGTGCCCAGGGGAGGAAGTACACACGCAATGCACTCTGGGAACTGTAGTTCTAGAACGCGGCCTACCCGCTGACACTGAAGCCCCGGCCTGGGAGTTGGAGCTCGGCCAGCTGTGCTCAAGAGGACTGGGCGACTTGGAAGACGCTGAACAGACTGCACTCTGGCACCACGAGATGCAGAGCCAACCTTAGGAAATTGGGCTTCAAAATGGAATCCATGACATGTGAGTGTGGAGAAGAGCAAACCACTGACCACCTGCTGCAATGCAACCTGAGCCCCGCCACATGCACCAGGGAGGACCTTCTTATAGTAACACCAGAGGCACTCCAAGTGGCCAGATACTGGTCAAAGGACATTTAATAGAATGCCAAGTCTGCAAACTCTGTTTTGTCTGTTTGCTAAAAATTTGTTTAAAATGTAATACAATTGTCTGGTTGATACTGACACGATAAATAAATAAATTTCGCACATAACTTATACGGACTGATATCATTACACATGTGCACTATCAGCGTCTTGTGATCAATAGAAGTGGGTCAGGAGACATCTTTAATTAACGCCCCTCGTACTTCTTGCTCCGGTGCTGGGAATGGCTTGACAAGGGGAGAGTTTTGCTTAGCAAATTAAAATCTAATCCGGGAACACTGATTTTTAAAAAATCCATTCAAGACTTGGGAATGACAGCTTTATACTTGAAGCCACTGAGTTTTAACAACATTATGCACAGTTATGGCTTCACTGCTGATTTATGGTGTGATGAAAGCCATTTTTAGATAGGAATGTTGACTTTTCAATCTCACTACTTTGTCAAGTGGACGATTCTTACTATCATAATCTCTTTATTTTTTAAAAAACGAAATATGGACAGATGATCTTCCTAAGCCCAAAACGACTGATGTGATTAGAAAAGGGTCGTTTTCGGAATACGCAGCATCGGATGACAAAGAAGAAGAGCGGCGGTGGCGGATGTTCCGGATTGGAGACCAGGATCACCGGGTGGACATGAAGGCCATTGAGCCCTACAAGAAGGTGATCAGCCACGGAGGTACGGAGAGAAAGCTGGTTCAATGCCCTGCCCAGCCACCAATGGCAAGGGTTTCATTTTCAATGATTTTTTTTTCTATTTTAATTAAGGTTATTATGGCGATGGATTAAACGCAATTGTCGTGTTTGCGGTTTGTTTCATGCCAGAAGGCGGTCAGCCAAACTACAGATACCTGATGGATAATTTGTTTAAGTAAGTAATTGTGGGTGGTACATACATCTTACATCTATATATATATATACTAGCTATCCCCTGCCACGCATTGCTGTGGCCCAGTCTGGTGATCTGGAAAATAAAGTAATGAGAAAGTGTTGGTTTCTAATATATGTAATTTCTTTATGTTTGTGGGTAAACAGTATTTCTTGTTGTTTCTTTGTCAGTGTTGATGTGGAAAGTGTCTGGTTTGCCTACTCTGGAACATGCAACATATCATTGTCCTTCTTTAAGGGTCCCTTTCAAATCTATGATACTATATCTGTGTGTGCGTGAATTATATCTATCTATCTATCTATTAGGCTTGGGTAACAACGGAAAAAATTGTTTCTAAACTCGTTTTGTTTTTAGGGGTCCATCGCATTTCGTTTTTTTAAAGAATTCCGAAATTTTCCTTTTAAAAATTTCGAAATTTACGAAATTTCCTGTAATTACGAATCGATTCGTTAATGGCGGACGCGATTGCGCAATATGCTAAAAAAACCTCCAAATGGGACAGGGGGAACTTCTGAAGCTTCCCTCTCCCTCTGTTGTTGACTGTTGGTGTGATAAAACAAACAACTATAAAACTTGCACCAGACATGCGAAAATAATTACGAAATAATTACGAAATAATTACGAAATAAATTGAAAAAATTGTTTCGAATCTAATTTACTCCTCACACTATTCCTGCATGGCTCAATATTGGATCGTAAGCTAATTTAAATACGAATTAATAACGAATTACGAAATTAACGAATGAAACCGCCCAAGCCTAGTATCTATCTATATCTATTCCTGTCAGGAGGACTTTGATTATGTTTTCTTGCCCTGATGAAGGGGAGTTGGATTGGATGGCCTTAAGTATTTTCTGTTGGTCATGGGGGTTCTGTGTGGAAAGTTTGCCCCAATTCTGTTGTTCGTGGGGTTCAAAATACTCTTTGATTGTAGGTGAACTGTGAATCCCAGTGACCTCAACTCCCAAATGTCAAGGTCTATTTCCCTCAAACTCCATCTGTGTTCATATTTGGGCGTATTGAGTAGCTTGTGCCAAGTTTGGTCCAGATCCATAATTGTTTGAGTCCACAGTGCTCTCTGGATGTAGGTGAACTACAATCCCAAACTCAAGGTCAATGGCCCCCAAACCCTTTCAGTATTTTCTTTTTCTCATGGGAGTTCTGTGTGCATGTTTGGTTCAATTCCATCATTGGTGGAGTTCAGAATGTTCTTTGATTGGAGGTGAACTATAAATCCCAGCAACTACAATTCCCAAATGACAAAATCATAATTCTTTGAGTGATGGTAACTCCTTGTGTTGTGAGATGTCTTGTTGCCAAATTTGGTGTGATTTCGTTCATTGGTTCTTTTGTTTTTAAAGGTACTCATTACGCACAGAGCATTTATATATACATATTGTCTCTCTATCTGAACAGGTATGTTATTGGCACGCTAGAGCTGTTGGTTGCTGAAAACTATATGATTGTTTATCTGAACGGTGCCACCACGCGGCGGAAGATGCCCAGCCTGGGCTGGCTCCGGAAGTGTTACCAGCAGATCGATAGGAGGTAAGATGAAGGAAAAGAGGTGTGAATATATCCAAGTGTAGGAGATCTATTGAATATCAACTGAACAACATTCAGCCAATTCCAATCTCCCCTTTTTGGGCAAAGTCCTGGAATGTGTGGTATCCTCGCAACTCCAAGTTATTTATTTATCGTGTCAGGGGCAATCAGACCATTGTATTACATTTCTAACGAAACAAACAAACAGACAGACAAAACACAAAGTTTGCAAGCTTGGTAGTTGATTAAATGTCCTTTGACCAGTATCTGGCCACTTGGAGTGCTTCTGGTGTTGCTGCAAGAAGGTCCTCCATTGTGCATGTAGCAGGGCTCAGGGTGCATTGCAGCAGGTGGTCAGTGGTTTGCTCTTCTCCACACTCGCATGTCGTGGATTCCACTTTGTGGCCCCATTTCTTGAAGGTTGGCTCTGCATCTCGTGGTGCCAGAGCGCAGTCTGTTCAGCGCCTTCCAAGTCTGCCCAGTCTTCTGTGTGCCCAGGGGGAGTCTCTCATTTGGTATCAGCCATTGGTTGAGGTTCTGGGTTTGAGCCTGCCACTTTTGGACTCTCGCTTGCTGAGGTGTTCCGAGTGTCTCTATAGATCTTAGAAAACTATTTCTTGATTTAAGTCATTGATGTGCTGGCTGATGCCCAAACAAGGGATGAGCTGGAGATGTCTCTGCCTTGGTCCTTTCACTATTGGCTGCTACTTCCCGGCGGATGTCAGGTGGTGCAATACTGGCTAAACAGTGTAATTTCTCCAGTGGTGTAGGGCGCAGACACCCCGTGATAATGCGGCATGTCTCATTAAGAGCCACATACTGTTTTAGCATGGTGAGATGTGTTCCACACTGGGCATGCATACTCAGCAGCAGAGTAGCATAGCGCAAGGGCAGATGTCTTCACTGTGTCTGGTTGTGATCCCCAGGTTGTGCCAGTCAGCTTTCGTACGATATTGTTTCTAGCACCCACTTTTTGCTTGATGTTCAGGCAGTGCTTCTTGTAGGTCAGAGCACGGTCCAGAGTGACTCCCAGGTATTTGGCAACTCCAAGTGTTCTTGGAAGACACGGATTATCTGGATCCGGCACAGTCTGGTTTTAGGTTGGGACATGGATCCGAGACAGCCTTGGTTACCTTAGTGCAGTGTTTCTCAACCTTCCTAATGCCGCAACCCCTTAATACAGGTCCTCCTGTTGTGGTGACACCCAACCATAACATTATTTTCATTGCTACTTCATAGCTGTACTTTTGGTACTGTTATGAATCATAATGTAAATACCTGATATGCAGGATGTATTTTGATTCACGGGACTAAATTTGGCACAAATGCCCGATATGCCCAAATTTGAATACTGGTGTGCTTGGGGGAGATTGATTTTGGAGTTTGGGAGTTGTTGCTGGGATTTCTACTTTACCTAATATTATTATTATTATTAACTGTATTTATGCCTCGCAAAATCTCCCGAAGGACTCGATGCGGCTTACAAAGGCCAAGGCCACCAACAAACAACAGCATACAGATACAACAGTAAACTCATAAGCAAATAATAAAACATCAAGCAAAACAATAAAACACTAAAAACAATGACACCATGACGCATTTAAAACCTAAAGGCCCGGCCAAATGTAATGGACAAAATTTAAAAAGTGCTGGACTTGACAGGTGATATGTGGAGGTTTTTTGGAGGTAGGTGCAATGTGCAGACAATCCTAAATCTCTAAAAAAAAGTGCATTTGGGACATGATGCTAGGAGTTTCCTATTCTGGAAAGGCGCACTGGAACAGCCAGGTCTTCAGGCTCTTCCTAAAGACTGCCAACGTTGGGGCTTGTCTGATGTCCTTGGGGAGAGAGTTCCAGAGTCGGGGGCCACCACAGAGAAGGCCCTGTCCCTCGTCCCCACCAAACGCGCTTGCGACACAGGTGGGATTGTGAGCAGGGCCTCTCCAGATGATCGAAGGGAACGTGTGGGTTCATATATGGAGATGCGGTCACACAAGTAGGCAGGTCCCAAACCGTTTAGGGCTTTGTAGGTGAGCACCTGCACCTTGAATTGGGACCGGAAGATGAACGGCAGCCAATGGAGCTCCTTAAACAGGAGGGTTGACCTCTCTTTGTAAGGAGCGCCAGTTAACAACCTGGCCACCAACCGTTGGACCAGTTGGAATTTCCGAGCTGTTTTCAAGGGCAGCCCCAGGTAGAGCGCATTACAGTAGTCCAATCTGAAGGTGACCAAGGCATGGACCAACCCAGCCAGACCTACAATTAAAGAGCATTCGAATAATAGAATGGAACCAAACTCGGCACACAGAACTCCCAAGACCAACAGTGAATACTGGAAGGGTTTGGTGAGCAGTGTCCTTTGGTTTTAGAGTTGTAGTTCACCTACATCCAAAGATGTCTGTGGACTCAAACAATGATAGATCTGGACCAAACTCTACAAGAATACTCAATATACCCAAATGTGAACAGTGATGGAATTAGGGGAAAACAGAATCTTGACATTTGGGAGTTGTAGTTGCTGGGATTTATAGTTCACTTACAGTCACAGAGCATTCTGAACCCCATCAACAATAGAATTGGGCCAAACCTCCCACAAGAACCCCCATGTGGGTCACAGCAACATGTGGCAGGAGAAAGGAGATTCCATCTGAACATGAGGAAGAACTTCCTGACTGAGAACTGTTCAGCAGTGGAACTCTCTGCCCAAGAGTGTGGTGGAGGCTCCTTCTTTGGAAGCTTTTAAACAGAGGCTGGATGGCCATCTGTTGGGGGTGATTTGAATGCAATATTCCTGCTTCTTGGCAGAATGGGGTTGGACTGGATGGCCCATGAGGTCTCTTCCAACTCTAGGATTCTATGATTCTATGACAGCTAGTCTATATATATATAAATGCTCTGTACGTAATGAGTACCTTAAAAACAAAAAAACGACTGGGCCAAATAACCCCAAATTTGGCAACAAAACTCCTCACAATCCAAGGAGTGACCATCACTGAAAAAAACCCCACAAAAATATCTTTAAATTCAAAATATTACCATATTAAATAGACTCCCAGAATAGAATTAGAAGGGACTCTACCATAGTATTATGGGAGGACAGAAAGAAGGAGAGAAGAAAGGAACGAGGGAAAAAGGGAAGGAATGTAGGAGGGAAAGGGGTAATGAAGGAAAGAGAGAAGGAGGGAGGGAAAGAAGGAAGGAAAGAAGGAAGGGAGAGAAGGAAGGAAAGAAAGAGGTACAGAAGGAAGAATACAAAGTAGAAAGGAAAGAAAAAGGAGAGGAAAGGCAGGAAAGAGGTAAAGAAGGAAGGAAGGAGAAAAGGAAATAAAAAGTGAAAGAAGGAAGGAAACAAGGAGAGAAGAAATGAGACAAAGGAAGAAGTAGAGAAAGGGGAAGGGAAGGAATGGAAGAGAGAAGGAAGGGTGAAACCAAAGAGCGAAATAAGGAATGAAAAAAGAGGTAGAGAAGGAAGAAAGGGGAAGAAAAAGGGGGAAGTAATAGGTAGGTACCTCTCTTTCATAATAGTCCAGATATCTACCTCTACTTCGAAAATTCTTACTATAGGCCACAGCAACACGTGGCAGGGCACAGCTAGTATAGTAGATAAATAAATAAAATCTAGCTCTGAAGATCAAATCGCTAGTTGTTGGGAACATCATGTTGCCCAATCTGGTCCTTAAGGAAAAAGTAGTGTGCTTTGATTCTCTTGTTGACCTCTCTTCCCTATTTTTTTATCATGACTGTAATTCTACTTCCACTTTAGGTTACGGAAAAACCTGAAATCATTAATTATTGTTCATCCTTCGTGGTTCATCCGGACACTCTTGGCAATCACAAAGCCTTTTATTAGGTAATCCTCCGCATATTTACTCCACTTGCTTTGGTTTTTAAGGACTGGCCCATTTCATATTTTCATCTATATAAATAAAAATGTAATTTTCGTTTGTGGGATTAACAGAACAGAACAAATTTTTTTGATTTTGCATTTAGGAGTTGAAGTTCTTGGGATTTATAGTTCACCTACAGTCAAACTCCACCAATGATGGAATTGAACCAAAAGTGACACACAGGACTCCCATGAACAACAGAAAACACTAGAAGTGTTTGGTGGGCATTGATCTTGAGTTTGGGAGTTGTAGTTCACATACATCCAGAGAGCACTGTGGACTCAAAACAATGATGGATCTGGACCAAACTTGGCACAAATATTCCATATGCCCAATTATGAACACAGATGGAGTTTGGGGAAAATAGACCTTGACATTTGGGAGTTGTAGTTACTGGGATTTATAGTTCACCTACAATCAAAGACCATTCAGAACCCCACCAATGATAGAACTGGGCCAAACCTCCCACACAGAACCCACACAACCAACAGAAAATACTGTATTTTTTGTTGGTTTTTGGCAACCCCTCTGACACCCCCTCATGACCTCACCTCAGGTTCAGAAATGCTGCCTTAAGGCCATCCAGTCCACCTCCCTTCACCAGGGCAAGAAAACATAATCAAAGCCCTCCTGACAAAGAGCCATCCATCCATCCATAGATACAGATATATATGATTCACACACACATGTATATAATAGATATAATATCATAGATTTGAAAGGAACCCCTAATGAAGGACAATAGTATGTTCCATGTTCCAAAGTAGACAAACCAGACAATCTCTACATCAACACTGACAAAGAAGTACTGTTTACCCTCAAGCATAAAGAAATTACATATATTAGAAACCAACACTTTCTCATTACTTTATTTTTAAGATCACCAAACTGGGCCACAGCAACGCCTGGCAGGGGACAGCTAGTCATCTATATAAATAAAAATGTAATGTTTGTTTGTGGGATTAACAGAACTCAAAAACCACTGGGGGAATTGACACCAAATTGGGACACAGGACACCTAACAGGCCAATGTATGTCCTTCACTCACAAAACACTGAAAAACACAGAAGAAGGGACTTTAAAAGCCCAAAAAAAGCTAAATGATGAAAAGGTGAATGACAATACAGAAAAAAAGGGAAGAAAGATGGAGGGAAGGGGAGAAAAGAGAGAGAGGGGAGGAAAAGAAAGAAGAAAAGGGAGAAGGACACGTGGAAGCAAAGAGAGAAAGAAGAAAGGAAAGCGGTAGAGAAAGAAGGAGGGAAAGAGAAAGGGTGGAGGAAGGAAAGTTAGAGAAGGAGGGAAGGGGAAAAAAGGGAATGAAGGAAGCAAGAGGGAGCGAAGAAAGGGGGGAAGATGTAGTGAAAGAGGGAGGGAAGGAAAGAAGGAAAGAGAAGGAAGAAAAGAGAGACAGCAGAAGAGAAAGAAAGGGGGAAGGAAGGAAAGAGGTAGAGAAGGAGAAAGGGAGGGAAAGAAAAAGGGGGAAGGAAAGTTAAGAGAAGGAAGGAGAAAAAGAAAAAGGAAGAAGAAGAAAGGGGAGCGAAGGAAGGGGGAAGATGTAGAGAAGAGGGAGGAAAAGAGAGAAGGAGAAAAGAGAAGAGAAAGAAAAAGGGGGGAAGGAAGGAAAGAGGTAAAGAGAAGGAAGAAAGGAGGGAAAGGGAAAGAAAAAGGGGGAAGGAAGAAGAAGAAGGAAGGAAGGAGAAAGAAAGAGAAAGAAGGAAGGAAAGTGGGAGCGAAGGAAGGGGGGAAGATGTAGAGAAAGAGGGAGGGAAGGAAAGAGAAGGAAGAAAAGAGAGACAGCAGAAGAGAAAGAAAAGGGGAAGGAAGGAAAGAGGTAGAGAAGGAAGAAAGAAAGGGAGGGAAAGAAAAAGGGGGAAGGAAAGTTAAGAGAAGGAAGAAGAAGGAAAGCAAAAGGGAAAGAAGGAAGGAAAGTGGGAGCGAAGGAAGGAGGGAAGATGTAGAGAAAGAGGGAGGGAAGGAAAGAGAGAAGGAAGAAAAGAGACAGCAGAAGAGAAAGAAAAAGGGGGAAGGAAGGAGAAAAGAAAGGAGAAGGGGGGAAAAGGGAGAAAAGGGGAAAGGAAGGAAGGATGGAAAGAGGAAGAAAGGAGAAGGAAGGGAGAGAGAAGGAAGAAATGAGAGAAAGGGGAAAAGAAAAAAGGGGGAGGAAAGAGAAGAAGGAAAGAAGAAAGGAGGGAAAGAAAAGGAAGAAGAAAGAGAGGAAGAAAGGGAGGAAAGAAAAAGGAAAGAAGGAAGAGAAGGAAGGAAGGAGAAGAAGAAAAGAAGGAAGGAAGAGGAGGAAGGAAAGGGGAAGAGAAGAAAGAGGGGGGAAGGAAAGAGAGGAGGAGAGGAAGCAGAAGGAAAGAAAAGGAAGGAAGGAAAGAGATAGAGAAGGAAGAAGAGAAGGAAAGATGGGAAGGAAGGAAAGAGGGTGGAAGGAGGGAAAGAAGGAGAGAAAGAGGGAAGGTTGGCCACAGCAAAGCGTGGCAGGTACAGCTAGTGGCAAATAATAATTTTCTCATCTCTCTCTCTCTCTCTCCTTTTTTTTTTTTTAGCTCCAAATTCAGCCAGAAAATCAAGTATGTCTTCACTTTGGCAGAGCTGGCTGAGCTCATCCCTATGGAATATGTCGGCATCCCTGAATGCATAAAACAGTAGGTTGCCATTTCAAATTATAATAATGAGGATGATGATGATGTTTTACTTGACTCTCCTTGGAAGTTGGTGCACCCTATACGGAAAAAAATGTTGCTTTTGTTTGTGGAAGAAGTTTGAGACCAAGATTCTATCTCTAAATCCAACTAGTGGGGATCCATTGAATCAAAGGAATTTACGTCCTTTTTGCCTTACCAGGTTTCCGTCAAATCAATGCATGGACTATATATATATATACACTCTCGTTTAAGTCTGGAAGTTTTTGTTTAAAAAATGAATTTTAGGTAAATAAGTGTTTTTGGTGTAATGATGCCATTTCTTTATTTCTCAGTTTCCAACTAGGGTGGGCTCCCAAAATTATTTATTGATTTATTTATTTATTGCATTTCTATCCCGTCCTTTTCAACCCCCAAAGGGGGACTCAGGACGGCTTACAATGGGCCCCATTCCGAAGCCATTACATAACAAATTGCAGAATTAAAACCACAATTAAACATAAAAGCATAATTAATAATAATAATAATAATAATAATAATAATAGAACTTTATTTGTACCCAGCTACCATCTCCCCAAGGGACTCGGTGCGACTTACATGAGGCCAAGCCCACAGTACATCAATAAAACGAAGGCAATAACAAAATAATCAATACAAAACAGTAAAATAAGTCTCAGAACTGTATAAATATGTGAGAGGAAGCCACAGGGAGGAGGGAGCAAGCTTGTTTTCTGCTTCCCTGGAGACTAGGACGTGAAACAATGGCTTCAAACTACAAGAGAGGAGATTCCATCTGAACATGAGGAAGAACTTCCTGACTGTGAGAGCCGTTCAGCAGTGGAACTCTCTGCACCGGAGTGTGGTGGAGGCTCCTTCTTTGGAAGCTTTTAAGCAGAGGCTGGATGGCCATCTGTCAGGGGTGATTTGAATGCAATATTCCTGCTTCTTGGCAGGGGGTTGGACTGGATGGCCCATGAGGTCTCTTCCAACTCTTTGATTCTATGATTCTATGATTCTATGAAAACAAAAATAAGCAATAAACAATAACAATAACATACAAGCATTTAAAAACCTATGGCCGGGCCAAATGTAATAATTTAAATTAAAAAAATAATGCTGGCATGAAGAAGGTAGGGTATAATCATCATCATCATCATCATCATAATCTTTATTTGTACCCTGCCACCATCTCCCTGATGGGGACTTGGAGCGGCTTACATGGGGCCAAGCCCGAACAACAATTACAATAAAGAACAACCAAACGGGTATAACTAGGATAGAATTTCAAAGAAAGATGAGGGCGCGCAGGCAATCCTAAATCAATGTTAAAGTGCATTTGAGGACATATTGCTAAGAGTTTTCCTTTTTCTGTCTGGCCATATTTTGTGTCAAAAGCATTGCATAGGTACAGGTAGGTATAGATTTCCCCTGACATTAAGCCTAATCGTATCCGACACTGGGGGGTGGTGCTCGTCTCCATTTCTAAGCCAAAGAGCCGGCATTGTCCGTAGACACCTTCAAGGTCATGTGGCCACTGGCATGACTGCATGGAGCACTGTTACCTTCCCGCCGGAGCGGTACCTATTGAAATAATAATAATAATAATAATAATAATAATAATAATAATAATAATAATAATAATAATAATAATGTTGAGATTAACTTCACAATTCAGCAGCAGATCAGTTACACAACTTTAGTGCTTTCCAGTAGCTTCTTCCTGCACAGTATTTTCAGTCAACTGCTCCCACAGCCTGCAGTCACTCTGGAACCTTTTACATACGCTTGAGCACATGCCCAGCCATTGTCAGTTTTACCATTGTCTTTCCCCCAGTCTAGATGATATTACAAACTTACCACAGCATACAGTTATATCTTGTCTTAGCAGACAGGTTCTTTTAATTACATATAGCCTTCGACGAACAACATCACAGCACAAGGAGAAATATACACTGTACATGACTTCCTTATATACAATTCATTTACACATAGCAATCACTGATTGGTTCCCAACTCATTGACTCAACTCAAACCCAGGATTGCATCATTCACAATCACCTGGACTAGGCCAGAACACATTCCCCAAATGAAGTTCTATATACAGTTAATGCATGACTCAGCATTTCCAATAGAAGCCCATTAGCAGTGCATGACTCAGCTATATTACATTGCAATACATTGTAAAACCTGACAAATAATAATAATAATAATAACTTTATTTATACCCCGCCACCATCTCCCCAATGGACTCGGAGCGGCTTACATGAGGCCAAGCCCGACAACACATCAATAAAACAAAAAGCAATAAGCAAAAACAATACAATTAATATAAATCACATATAAACAATAACACGCAAGGATTTTAAAAACCTATGGTCGGGCCAAATGTAATAGTTTAAAATTTAAAAAATAAATAAACGCTAGGCATGAACAGAGGTAGGATGTATCTGGTAGGAGGGTTTTAAAAGAAGAGCAACGCAACGAGTAGTTAAAGTGCTTCTGAGGACATTTTTGCTGGGAATTATTTCTAATAAAACCCCAAAATTTGAAATAAAAAAGAAAAAAAATATATATAATACATCAAAATTGGGAACAATTTTATTATTAGAAAAGTGGGAAATAAAGAGAGGGAAAAAAGAAAAACAAACCCCTAACCCCCCCCCCCCCAAAGACCCTAAAAACAAACAAAAAAACAAAACACAAAAATTGTGTGACTTCCGTTCTTCTTACTAACATCCTCAAAAAAATATATTAAAAATTGTCTTTAGATCATTCCTAGGATAAGATTTTTCCCCTCAAATAAAGAGTTATAAACTTAATTGTTGTCCTTGTCCTCGTTTTTTATATATTCATCGAAGGTTGTCCAATCCGTCCTTTTTACACCTTGACCATTATTTTGTCTTAATAGGAATGTCAGTTCATCCATGTCCTTTATTTCCATTACATATTTTCCTGTATTTATACCCAGCCCTTCTCCCCCCGAAGGAGGACTCGGGGCGGCTTAACAAAAGCATCATACAAAGTTAGCATCATAAAAACAACCACAGTACAATCAAAATATTAAAAATTAAAACAATTAAGACACATCCATTAAAATCGAAATCCAAAAACCAGTCCGGGTCAATTCATTGCCATAAGTTGTGTGATCTTCTTCCACTTGCTGCTCACTGATCAAACGCTTGGTCCCATAACCAGGTCTTGATTTTCCTTCTAAAAGACAAGAGGGAGGTGGCCAATCTGATATCTCTAAGGAGGGCATTCCAGAGGCGGGGGGCCACTGCTGAGAAGGCCCTGTCTCTCGTCCCCATCAACCACATTTGCGACTGTGGTGAGATTGAGAGCAGGGTCTCTCCTGAAGATCTTAAACTTTGTGATGGTTCGTGGCAGGAGATACATTCGGACAGGTAGTCTGGGCCTGAACCCTTTTAGGGCTTTAAAGGTTAAAACCAGCACTTTGAATTGTGCTCGAAAGCTGATTGGTAGCCAGTGGGGTTGGTGTAACAAAGGAGTTGTATGTTCCCTGTACGTCGCTCCGGTGAGCAACCTGGCTGCCGACCGTTGGACTAGTTATTATATTATGTATATATAGGTATTATATATAGATATTATAATTATAATTATATATTTACATTACATGTAATATTATTAATAATATTACAATATAATGGTAGTGCAATATAGTAATATATAATACTGATATTGTACTATGCTAATAATATAATATATTGTATGAAAATATATATTGTAAGCCACTCTGAGTCCCCTTTGGCGTGAGAAGGGTGGTACATAAATGCCATAAATAAATCATCAAATCCTAGAATCAAAAAGTTGGAAGAGACCTCCTGGGCCATCCAGTCCAATCCCATTCTGCCAAGAAGCAGGAATATTGCATTCAAATCACCCTGACAGATGGCCATCCAGCCTCTGTTTAAAAGCTTCCAAAGAAGGAGCCTCCACCACACTCCGGGGCAGAGAGTTCCACTGCTGATCGGCTCTCACAGTCAGGAAGTTCTTCCTCATGTTCAGATGGAATCTCCTCTCTTGTAGTTTGAAGCCATTGTCCCATTGCGTCCTAGTCTCCAGGGAAGCAGAAAACAAGCTTGCTCCCTCCTCCCTGTGGCTTCCTCTCACATATTTATACATGGCTATCAATGAATAAATAAATATAATAGTTGAAGTTTCCGGGCAGTCTTCAAAGGCAGCCCCGTGTAGAGTGCGTTGCAGTAGTCTATTTGGGATGTAATATCTTGTTTACTGTGGTATACTGTGTTTTTCTGTCAGAATAATAATAATAGTAATAATAATAATGGATTTAAAGGAAGATTTGAAGATTATTATTATTCCTGATTGCATCTTGACTGGCTTGTGCCAGAGTCTTTGCAGTTCGATCTTTAAATCCATTATTATTATTATTATTATTATTATTATTATTATTATTATTTTACTGACACAAAAACACAGTATGCCACACAAATGAGATATTACATCCCGAATAGACTACTGCAACGCACTCTACATGGGGCTGCCTTTGAAGACTGCCTGGAAACTTCAACTATTTATTCATTCATAATCATCCATAGGGTTGATGCTCACCCTATGGACAAACAGGTGTACAGAGCTCTGAACGCCATAATTGAAGAGGAGGCTATAGGAGTCATTAACCTGGAGCCAGTTAACAACTAAAACAGTTTTTAATTAGAGAGGAACTCAATCCGATGACTTCTATTCCAAGTTTTTGAGTTATGTATTTATTTATTTATTTATTTGCAACATTTCTCACCCCGAAGGGGACTCAGAGCGGCTTACAGGGTATATATTACATACAATATATTATATTATTAGCATAGTACAATATCAGCATTAAACATTGCTATATTGCACCATACCACTATATCGTAATATTATTAGTAATATTACACGTAATATAAATATATAATTATAAATATGTAATTATAAATATATAGTTAGGACACTTTGGAGAAATCAGGGCTGTTTATTTATTTATTTATTTCGTATACTTCTACCCCGCCCTTCTCAACCCCCGAGGGGGGACTCAGGGCGGCTTACAAAATGGCACAATTTGGTGCCTACACAAATACAATAACATATAAAACAGCAATTAAATTGTAAACAATTAAAACAACAATATATCTCACAGTCGATAGCCAATCTCAAGCACAGCGTTCGCCAACTCAGGGTCCATACTTCATTCCACATTGTCTATTCCTATCCGTCGTCACAGTCCTTTATTCATCTGCCAAATTGCCTAAACGCCTGGTCCCACATCCGTGTTTTTAATTTCTTTCTGAAGGAAAGGAGGGATGTTGCTGATCTAATTTCCCCGGGGAGTGAATTCCATAGGTGAGGGGCCACCACTGAGAAGGCCCTGCTCCTCGTCCCCACCAATCTCACTTGTGACAGAGGCGGGGCCGAGAGCAGGGGCCCCCCAGAGGATCTCAGACTCCGAGGTGGGACGTAGAGGGAGATGCGTTCGAACAGATACGCTGGGCTGGAACCGTATAGGGTTTTGTAGGTCAAAACCGGCACTTTGAATTGTGCTCGGAACTGGATCGGCAGCCAGTGGAGCTGACACAACCGGGGGGGGGGGGGGGGTGGTATGCTCCCTGTATGACGCTCCGGTGAGCAATCTGGCTGCCTCCCGCTGGACTAATTGAAGTTTCCGAACAGTCTTCAAAGGCAACTCCACGTAGAATGTGTTGCAGTAATCTATCTGTTAGCTTGTTTGGGAACTTTTGCTGACCTGCCAGTCTTACTTCCTGTTGTACTAAAGATCAAATTTTCCCCCACAAAGGTATGAAGAAGAAAAATTTAGAAAGAAAGCCAAAAGGTATATGATATGCACATCTTGATCAGGGCCGTGTCTAATCTCTGCGCTGGGCTCTCCTTGCTGGGACGGATTGGGTTTCACTGGGATGCATACAGCATGCAGGAATCGAAACCAGCTCTGGTGCATATTAATCTTATGCTTTGGAAGTTAACTAAAGCATTTGCTGGGCTAATTTATTATCCTTGCTCTAATCTTCCAGCCTTCAAAGTGTGCTTCCTCCCTCTTGTAGACTGGGAGAGCCATTGCTGCTTGCAAAGCACTTCCCTAATTCTAGATTTGGAATGACTCTGACTCGGCGGCTGTTACGTAGCTTAACGGCTTAATCTGCACAGACCTCAGTGTAAAAATGAATCCTTTGTGCTGTCTGCATTTACGCTATCCTCTTTTTCTTGCTCTTAATGGTGCATGCTGGGTTTTTCCGGTGCTTCAGGTATCGCCCACTAACGTTCCTTACCAATACTGACCAGTTCAGACCATTGGTGTTGCTGTTGCTACTAACGAACGTCACTTGATCCAGAATGTGCCCATTATATTATCATTTTTCTCTTGCTAAGTAAGGCTCCATGAAAAACATGGGAATACTTCTTTGCAGTGTGATATTAGAAAAGCTATGTCTGCCTATTAGCATCCTCATCTAGCTTCCATGCAGCTTATGCCAGGGGTCTTCAAACTGTTTAAACAGAGGGCCAGGTCACAGTCCCTCAAACTGTTGAAGGGCCGGATTATAATTTGGAAAAAGTATGAATTAATTCCTATGCATACTGCACGTATCTTATTTGTAATGTAAAAAACACTTAAAATCAATACAATCATTTTTTTATCGTGTCAGGAGCAACCAGACAGTTGTATTACATTTTTAACAAAACAAAGAAACAAACATACAAAACACAAATTTGCAAGCTTGGTAGTTGATTAGATGTCCTTTGACCCATAGCTGGCCCCGTGGAGTGCCTCTGGTTTTACCATTGTGCATGTTGCAGGGCTCAGGTTGCATTGCAGCAGGTGGTCAGTGGTTTGCTCTTCTCCACACTCGCATGTCGTGGACTCCACTTTGTGGCCCCGTTTCCTAAGGTTGGCTCTGCTTCTCATGGTGCCAGAGCGCAGTCTGTTCAGCGCCTTCCAAGTCACCCAGTTTTCTGTGTGCCCAGGGGGGAGTCTCTCATTTGGTCTCAGCCATTGGTTGAGGTTTGGGTTTGAGCCTGCCTCTTTTGGACTCTCGCTTGCTGGGGTATTCCAGCGAGTGTCTTTCTAGATCTTAGAAAACTATTTCTAGATTTAAGTCATTGATGTGCTGGCTGATACCCAAACAAGGGATGATCTGGAGATGTCTCTGCCTTGGTCCTTTCACTATTGGCTGCCACTTCCCGGCGGATGTCAGGTGGTGCAATACCGGCTAAGCAGTGTAATTTCTTCAGTGGTGTAGGGCGCAGACACCCCGTGATAATTACTTTTTTAACATGGTGAGATGTGTTCCACACTGGGCATGCATACTCAGCAGCAGAGTAGCATAGCGCAAGAGCAGATGCCTTCACTGTGTCTGGTTGTGATCCCCAGGTTGTGCCAGTCAGCTTTCGTATGATATTGTTTCTAGTGCCCCACTTTTTGCTTGATGTTCAGGCAGTGCTTCTTGTAGGTCAGAGCACGGTCCAGAGTGACTCCCAGGTATTTGGGTGCGCTAATGCTCCAGTGGGATTCCTTCCCAGGTCATCCTCAGGGCTCAGGATGCTTGTCTGTTCTTGAGGTGAAAGGCACCTGTCTGTGTTTTAGATGGATTAGGGATCAGCTGGTTTCCCCTGTAATAGGCAGTAAGAGCACCTAGAGCTTCGGAGAGCTTCTGTTCAACCATCTCAAAGCTCCCTGCTTGAGCAGTAATGGCACGATCATCAGCATAGATGAAACTCTCTGTCCCTTCTGGCAGTGGCTGGTCATTTGTGTAGATGTTGAACATGGATGGAGCAAGCACACTCCCCTGAGGCAGGCCGTTCTTCTGTTTCTGCCATCTACTTCTCTGGCCCTGGAACTCAACAAAAAAGCTCCTGTTTTGTAGCAGGTTTCCTATGAGGCGGGTGAGGTGGTAGTCCTTTGTGATATTATACATTTTTCTCAGGAGGAGGCGGTGGTTGACGCTGACAGGTCAATGAAGACAGCTCCTGTCTTTCTATTGCAATTTCCAGTGTGAGAAGGTACATCAGATTACAAAAAGAAAACATTTAGACAAAGAAAGACATTGGACATACAGACATACAGATTCTATGCAACTACATTGGATTTACAATTACCTTGGTTAACAAGCAAAGGGGGATTACATTTTCACTCAGCATTCATACACATGTACATGCATTCATCCACATGCATCCAAAATATTACCATATCCTTTTCTCCCTCCTTTAGGCCAGACCCTGATTTCCTGCAGCCTGCCAATGCATAGTTCCAAAACTTCCATAACGCCAAAAGGTCGAAATGCCGAAATGCCCAAACTTCTTTTCCTAAGCACAATGCCAAGGACCAGATCTTTGTTATCCATACAGCAGAACCTGACTCCCTGCACAAAATCTAAGACTCCAAAAGCGCACTTCTTCCTCTTCCCTTGAGAAAGAAGCTCCAAAGTGACCAGACTGCTCCCATGCAGATCTGCCACTCTCCATAGGTACACTGTCTCTCTCCTTCCAATGAAGTAGAGCATAGCGGGTGGAACAGACTCCTCAGGTCTGCCACACTTTGAGCTTTATTAGACTGAGTCATTTATAGGAATATTCTGTTGATTTAGTCCCAAAGTTGTAAATTAATGATAGACGACTTCCATCCTGGCTTCATCTCAGTTTCCTGGCCGGATGTTGATCTTCTTGATTGGTGTTGATCTTATGTTGACTTCCTTCTTAACATAAGGAATGTTGCAAACATTTCCTTAACTTGAAAGAACCATTCTCACAGTTCTTATCAAGTCTCATTGGCAGGTTTTGATCACAGTTCCAGCAAGCAGGTAGTTAGTCATTGCAGGCCTTAATATTATACTTGTGTTTCCAAAATTATTAGATCCATTCTTACATCCTTCCACTCATTCCCACACATAATTATTAAATTCACATTTATCAGATCTGCACATTGAATTTCTTGTGACAGTTGTGTGCTTTCATGTCATAGAATCCTAGAATCATAGAGTTGGAAGACACCTCGCGGGCCATTCAGTCCAACCCCTTTCTGGCAAGAAGCAGGAAAATCTCATTCAAAGCACCCCCAACAGATGGCCATCCAGCCTCTGTTTAAAAGCTTCCAAAGAAGGAACCTCCACCACACTCCGGGGCAGAGAGAAGGGTGGTGGAGGCTCCTCCTTTGGACTTCGTTTCAGATTTAGGTTGACCCTGAGCGAGGGCTGTATCTGGCCCTTGGCCCTTCGTTTGAGGACCCCTGGCTTATTCTTTTCCATATTGACATTCGAAGGAATTTAGACATCCTTTTACTGGTTACGCAATGAATTATTTTTGTTTGTTTTTCATCAGGTCGTGCATTGCTTTGAAAAAATGTTCTGCTTTTATCTTGAGTCTCTCTTTTTTTAAGAGAAGAGAAAAAAGCAGGAAACAAATAATAATAATTTCTAAAATCAAATATGAAACAGGACTAATTTCACTCCTAATTTCATTCCTCTTCTAGTTTTGAATCCAGATTTCTTTTTCCATTCTGTTTCTTTCAAAGCCATAACTTGCTTTTGTCACTGTTTAAAAAGTCACCTTGTCTTCATGATTTTTAGGGGGAGGACTTGCCGCTACCCTTACCTTTGTTTCATGTTCAGTGCAATTGCTAAATGCCGTATATACTCGAAGATAAGCAGAGTTTTTCAGACCTTTTCCATGAGCTGAAAAAGCTTTTCTCAGCTTATAAGAGGATCAAGCCAGGCAGTGGAGCTTGGAGGCCATTGCTTGCAATCTATATAATAGGCTTGGTTGATCTAGAAAAAAATGGTTCTCAACTCGTTTCGTATATGGGGGCGCTGGCGATTCAAGAGAGAGAGAGAGAGAGAGAGCCCCTCTGGCTGGAGGTATCTCCCACCTCCGCTCCCTCCTTTGTTTTTGCGCCTACCTTCAGGAAAGGTGGGCATCTCCACCTCTCTCTCTCTCTCTCTCTCTCTCTCTCTCTCTCTTGGTCCCAATGGCTGAGGAGAAAGTCAGGAGAAGAGGTGACTTTTGGTGCACACGCCGGGGTCTTCAGGCACGCCTCCAGACCCAAAGCGGGCCAGGCAAGGGAGCAAGTGCGGCAAGTGTAGTTACTGGGATGTATAGTTCACCTACAATCAAAGAGCATTCTGAACTCCACCAATGATGGAATTGAACCAAATATGGCACACAGAACTCCCACGACAAACAGAAAATATATATCAATGATTGGTTGGGGGGGGCAAAATACTGTTTGCTTACCGTTGAAAATTACCTAGGGCCGCCTCTGGTGGCCAAGCACAGCTCTCCTTGGAGGTCACTGGGGGCGTGGCCTTCAGGAACAGCTGTTCTTAACCACGCTCACCTCCTTCTTCTTTGCATCGGTGGCTTTGCAAGTTGGGTGTGGCTATGCCTAGCTCTTCCGCATCGCCGCTTGTCGCCAGGGAGGTAGCCACCTCGCAAAGCCCACCTCGCAGAGCCGCCGATGCAAAGAGGAAGGAGGTGGGCGTGGGTAAGAACAGCTCTTCCTGAAGGCCACACCCCCAGCATTTACGATTCACTGCCCGAAGTCGTAAGGAAGATGGCGGACACGGCTTCGATATGGCAAAAACAATTCCGGGTTGCCAAAACCCGTCGATATCGCTTCTAAAGGTATTTTATTTACGATTTCTTAACGAGATTAGAAATTAATGAGCTGGATCAACCAAGCCTACTATATAAATAAAAATGTAATGTTCATTTGTGGGACTAACATAACTCCAAAACCACTGGACGAATTGACACCAAATTTGGATACAATATACCTATTAGGCCAACGAGTGACCATCACTTACGGAAACAGAGAAAAACACAGCAGAATAGACTTAAAAAGCAAAAAAACCCCAAAAAAACCAAAGAATGCATTACAACGGATGTGCAAAACTACATATATACACATATACACAAATATTGTTGTTGTTCATTCGTTCAGTCGTCAAATATACGCACACAAAAAAACATATACACAAATATATACACACACACAAAAACCACATATACACAGACTGGGCCATAGCAATGCATGGCCGGGGACGGTTAGTCTATATAAATAAAAATGTAATATTTGTTTGTGGGATTAATATAACATCCAACTATGACTCATAAAAATACTGAAAAACACAGCAGAAGAGACTTAAAAAGCCAAAAAACAAAAATTATATTACAACACATGCGCAAAACCATATATATACATACACAATATGTAAATATTCAAAAACATTTAACTTACTGATGCCTCAATTAATGTAACTTTATTGATATCTATTTTTATTTTGAAATTTAGCAGTAACTGCTGCATTTCCAACCCTCGGCTTATACTCGAGTCAATAAGTTTTCCCAGTTTTTTGTGGTAAAATTAGGTGCCTCGGCAGAGGGGGCCCTAGGTAATTTTCAAAGGTAAGCAAGCAGTATTTTGCCCCCCCCCCAACCAATCACTGATATATATTTTCTGTTCGTCGTGGGAGTTCTGTGTGCCATATTTGGTTCAATTCCATCATTGGTGGAGTTCAGAATGCTCTTTGATTGTAGGTGGACTATACATCCCAGTAACTACACTTGCCGCACTTGCTCCCTTGCCTGGCCCGCTTTGGGTCCGGAGGCGTGCCTGAAGACCCCGGTGTGTGCACCAAAAGTCACCTCTTTCTCCTCAGCCATTGGGACCGAGAGAGAGAGAGAGGTGGAGATGCCCACCTTTCCTGAAGGTAGGTGCAAAAACAAAGGAGGGAGCGGAGGTGGGAGATACCTCCAGCAGGAGGGCTCTCTCTCTCTCTCTCTCTCGGTCCCAATGGCTGAAGAGGCGACTTGGTGCATATGCTGGGGTCTTCAAACATGCCTCCGGACCCGAAGTGGGCCAGGCGCGGTGGCTCTGCCCCTTGGCCCACCGGCGGATTGGGGAGAGGAGAGGAGGCGGGTGGCGGGCCAGGGGATTGGGAAAGGGAGCCGGTCATGGAGAAGGGATCGAACGCGGAGAACGATTGAGCGCCGGCTCTGCTCGCGCACCCGGTGGCCAGGTGGAGCAGGAACGAGAGGGGCGAGGCGAGGCTCAAGGGCCCGGCCCCTTTGGGAAGAGGATCGCCCGGCAGCGAGGCAAGAAAGCCGAGGCTCCCCCCGGACTGCTAGGCTGTTGTGAGCTGAGGGGGCGCTCCTCAAGTGGCGGCCGAGGGGCATTTACAGAGGCGCCTCTGCGCCCCTGGCAAAAAAAGTGTTCTGCGACTGCTTACTTCGCGTAATGGATGAGCTGCCCCTGGTCGGCTTATACTCGAGTATATACAGTATATAGATTTACCTTTAGCTGCTGCATTTCCCATCCTTGCTTTAGACTCGAGTCAATACGTTTTCCCGGTTCTTTGTGGTAAAATTAGGTGTCTCGGCGTATATTCAGGTATATACGGTAATAGAAAACATTCTACCTTTTCCCCTCCCTGTAAAGAATCTCCAGCTGGAGGAATGTTTGGATTGCTAACCTTTTCCCTTTCCCCTTCCCTTTTTTTTTTTTTTTGTCTAACAAGTAGAGTTGACCAGGAACTTAATGGGAAACCGGAGCAGAAGACAGAGCAGTAGGATATTTCTGTGCCTTTCTGATTTCGAGCCAAGACCGAAGAAGGTGAGGAAGGAAATGACGTCTTGCGTGGATCGAGTCCCGATCGAAGGAAGAGATCGGCTTCTGGACTTTTTGCCCAAAGGACTGCCTGATGCCGAATGGGAGCCCGGGCTCCGTAGTGACGCTTACTAGCCGCCTTCATTATCACTCTTTTATACTTCCGTGTCGCAAAAGCGTCCTTCAGAGGCACCCGTTTGTTTTGGTTTTTTTTTTTTTATCCTAAATGATGCTTATTCAAGTAAAAATATTTATATGCTTAAATGTTAAGGAAAGAGATATAATATATATATATTTTTATGACGTCTCAAAACAATATTTTATACGGTTTGCCTGCAGGAAATACACGCAGGTCGAGTGGGCCGTACAGGACTGCTGTCCTTTATATGGAAATAAAAAGTGCATGACAAGGTCTTATAATGGTTCAGAGCCTTTTTGGCAAACAGACGTTAGAAATCTCCGTGGATTTGCTTTGCTAGTGCATATCCTTATTATTACTATTATTATTATTATTATTATTATTATTATTATTATTATTTGAAACACAACAAGATGAGTCCACTGCATTATTATTATTATTATTATTATTATTATTATTATTATTATTTGAAACACAACAAGATGAGCCCACAGTAGCATTATTATTATTATTATTAAATGTGAAATATTATTTGTACGATGGTTATCCGGAAAGTAGGATTACAAAGCATGTAGCTCTCGGGAAATTTCCACGGGGGAAGTTGGTATCACTGCCGTGTCGCGGGAAGCCAGCAGAAGCAAATGAGTCCACAGCATTATTATTATTATTATTATTATTATTATTAAATGTGAAATATGCTTTGTACAATGGTGATCCGGAAGGTAGGATTACAAAGTACGTGGCTCTCGCTGGAAATTTCCTCGGGGAAAGTTGGTATCACTGCCGTGTCGCGGGAAGCCAGCAGAAACAAATGAGTCCACAGCAATTATTATTATTATTATTATTATTAAATGTGAAATATTCTTTGTACAATGGTTATCCAGAAAGTAGGATTACAAAGTACGTAGCTCTCGCTGGAAATTTCCTCGGGGAAAGTTGGTATCACTGCCATGTCGTGGGAAGCCAGCGGAAGCAAATGAATCCACAGCATTATTATTATTATTATTATTATTATTATTATTATTATTATTATTATATGTGAAATACTCTTTGTACGGTGGTTATCCGGAAAGAAGGATTACAAAGTACGTAGCTCTCATTGGAAATTTCCTCGGGGGAAGTTGGTATCACTGCCGTGTTGCGGGAAGCCAGCGGAAGCAAATTACTCCACAGCATTATTATTATTATTATTATTATTATTATTATTATTATTATTACTATTATTATTATTATTATTATTAAATGTGAAATATGCTTTGCACAATGGTTATCCGGAAAGTAGGATTACAAAGCATGTAGCTCTCGGGAAATTTCCTCGGGGGGAAGTTGGTATCACTGCTATGTAGCGGGATGCCAGCGGAGGCAAACGAGCAGTGCCAGTCGTGAGTAGCTCATCAGTATAGATATGAGTATCTTCATTCCCAATGTTCGCTCTGCGATACACTACCTAAAGGCTAAGGGCATGAATGCCGCTGCGATTCTTTGCCAAATCATTTTATTTGGAGAAGACATAATGTCACGACAGCATGCAACAAAATGGGCATGGAATGTATTGTGAGAGCACAAAGAAACTTCAGAGCCAACCAAAAGAAACGTCGTGGGATGCTGACGATTGGAGTCTGTCTCCTTCATGACAATGCATGTCTGCCCACCGCTCATGCAACACAAGAGTTGCATGAGCAAAATGCTCTTTCAGCAGTCACCGGCCAGAAATACAGCTTAATGGTGTAACATTAGAAAATGTTGGCCATTTCCGCTACCTTGGCAGCCACCTCTCCACAAAAGTCAACATTGACAGCGAAATACAACACCGCCTGAGCTCTGCGAGTACAGCATTTTTCCGAATGAAGCAGAGAGTGTTTGAGGACCGGGACATCCGTAGGGATACCAAGTGCTTGTCTATAAAGCTGTTGTCCTCCCAACCCTGCTATATGCCTGCGAGACGTGGACAGTCTACAGATGTCACATGCAACTCCTGGAACGATTCCATCAGTGTTGCCTCTGGAAAATCCTGCAAATCTCTTGGGAAGACAAGCGGGCAAACGTCAGTGTGCTGGAAGAAGCAAAGACCACCAGCATTCTAGAACATGGCCATATAGCCTGGAAAAACCTACAACTATGATAATATTAATGCTGCTGCTGATGATGTACTGCTTTGAAGGGTCTTGAGCAAGAGAGAAAACAGGGTAGAAATATTATTATTATACTGACACTATTATTATTATTATTATTATTATTATTATTTTGTCACCTCTTTTTTTCTCTTGATCAAGACCCTTCAGAGCAATATATTATTATTAGTATTAATATATTACTCTGAAGGGTCTTGTTCAAGAGAGAAAACAGATGACATAATAATAATAGTAATAATAATAGTAATAATAATAGTAATAATATACTGCTTTGAAAGGTCTTGATTAAGAGAGAAAACAGGGTGGAAGGAATAATAATAATAATAATGTATAGGTTTAAAGTATCTATTCCGCATTGGTTAGACCACACCTGGAATAATGTGTCCAATTCTGGGCACCACAATTCAAGAGAGATATTGACAAGCTGGAATGTGTCCAGAGGAGGGCGACTAAAATGATCAAGGGTCTGGAGAACAAGCCCTATGAGGAGCGGCTTAAGGAGCTGGGCATGTTTAGCCTGAAGAAGAGAAGGCTGAGAGGAGATATTATAGCCATGCATAAATATGTGAGAGGAAGCCACAGGGAGGAGGGAGCAAGCTTGTTTTCTGCTTCCTTGGAGACTAGGACGTAATGGAACAATGGCTTCAAACTACAAGAGAGGAGATTCCATCTGAACATGAGGAAGAACTTCCTGACTGTGAGAGCCGTTCAGCAGTGGAACTCTCTGCCCCGGAGTGTGGTGGAGGCTCCTTCTTTGGAAGCTTTTAAACAGAGCTGGAGCCATCTGTCGGGAGTGCTTTGAATGATTTTCCCTGCTTCTTGGCAGAATGGGGTTGGACTGGATGACCCAAAGGGTCTCTTCCAACTCTATGTTCTATGATTCTATGTTCGAAAGGGAGAGACCATGAAAATGAACAAAATCTGGCTACCAGTATTTAAAAACTCTAAAATTACAACAGCAAAACAGCAGAGAGGAAACAACCAGGCACATCTTAACACCTCTCAACAAAATATTCCCCCAGGCTCAGCCAGGCCTTCAAATGCTAATGAAGGTGGTCAGTTGAAACATTCACACCTAGCTCCACAGGCAAGAGTTCTTTATCCCACCCTGGTCATTCCAAAGATATATAAACCCATTTTCCAACTCCAACAGACCTCACTACTTTTGAGGATTCTTGCCATAGATGCAGGCGAAACGTCAGGAGAAAATGCCTCTAGAACATGGCCATATAGCCCGACAAAAATCCACAAGAACCTAGTGATTCCACCCATGAAAGCCTTCGACAATAATAATAATAATGGTTTTAAGAGCCTTTACCAAGAGAGAAACCAGGGTAGAGGAAAAACTCAAAGCAACTCAGTGATTCTAGCCATGAAAGCCATTGACAACACGTTGTTGTTGTTGTTGTTGTTAAAGTTTATGGCACAAAAATTTTCAGTAGCAGAATGACGACTTCCAAAGCAAGGGCTGCACAATGAAACAGGAAATAACCTTTTCAAACCAGGAACAGGGGCAAAAAATCCCAGTTCTGTGCCTATTTGCTTGGGAGGGTTGCAAATTTCCCAGGGTTGCACATGCATCAAACTTCCCTCCCTTTGCTTTCTTTTTTCACCCTTCGGCGCATGCGCCAACCTCAAAGGCAGCCCTCGGCTCTTGCCGGTCCCATTTGGCGCATGCGCACATGGGCTGAACATGCATCAAACTTCCCTCCCTTTGCTTTTTTCCCCACCCTTCGGCGCATGCGCCAATCTCAAAGGCCGCCCTGGGCTGTTACTGTTCCCATTTGGCGCATGCGCACACGTGTTGGAAGTCGGCTGTACCGTTGCCTCGTCTCTATCGTCACGCACACCTCCGGCTTCCGCTTCCGGTTTGGTCGTCCTGAGGGGAAGCGAAGCAGAGAAGTGAAGCGGCATTCTCGTCACCCTTGTTTCGCTTTTGAACCGGTTTGGAGGCGGAGAAGAAGGGCTCCCTCTGGCTTCAGGTAAAGGCGGAGGAGGGAGGCCTGCCTGCCTGCCTCCCATTGGTTTCCTCGCCTATCCGTTTCAAGGTGTGAACAAGCCCTATGAGGAGCGGCTTAAAGAGCCGGGCATGTTTAGCCTGAATAAGAGAAGGCTGAGAGGAGACAGGATGGAGGATATTCCACAGTTGTGTGACTGCTTCATTCTTCCTTCCCTCTGTGTGTGTGTGTGTGAATTTCACTATAACAATGTACCTACACACACAGGAGGCCTGCAACACACACACATTATAGATAAATAGATAGAAACTAGTTGCTGTGGCCCAGTCTGTTGATCTGGAAAATAAAATAATGAGAAAATTTTGGTTTCTAATATCTGTGATGTCTTGATCCTTGTGGGTAAACATTATTTATTGCTGTTTCTTTGTCAGTGTTGATATGGAGAGTGTCTGGTTTGCCTCCTCTGGAATATGCAACATATCATGTTGTTGTTGTTCATTCGTTCAGTCGTCTCCGACTCTTCGTGACCTCATGGACCAGCCCACGCCAGAGCTCCCTGTCGGCCGTCACCACCCCCAGCTCCTTCAAGGTCAGTCCAGTCACTTCAAGGATGCCATCCATCCATCTTGCCCTTGGTCGGCCCCTCTTCCTTTTGCCTTCCACTTTCCCCAGCATAGTTGTCTTCTCTAGGCTTTGCTGTCTCCTCATGATGTGGCCAAAGTACTTCAACTTTGTCTCTAGTATCCTTCCCTCCAGTGAGCAGTCGGGCTTTATTTCCTGGAGGATGGACTGGTTGGATCTTCTCGCAGTCCAAGGCACTCTCAGCACTTTCCTCCAGCACCCCAGCTCAAAAGCATCGATCTTCCTTCGCTCAGCCTTCCCTAAGGTCCAGCTCTCACATCCGTAGGTGACTACAGGGAATACCATGGCTTTGACTAGGCGATCTTTGTTGCCAGTCTGATGTCTCTACTCTTTACTATTTTATCGAGACTGGACATTGCTCTCCTCCCAAGAAGTAAGCGTCTCCTGATTTCCTGGCCACAGTCTGCGTCTGCAGTCATCTTTGCACCTAGAAATACAAAGTCTGTCACGGCCTCCACATTTTCTCCCTCTATTTCCCAGTTGTCAATCATTCTTGTTGCCATAATCTTGGTTTTTTTGATGTTTAGCTGCAACCTGGCTTTTGCGCTTTCTTCTTTCACCTTGATTAGAAGGCTCCTCAGCTCCTCCTCGCTTTCGGCCATCAGAGTGGTGTCATCTGCATATCTGAGGTTGTTAATGTTTCTTCCAGCAATTTTCACCCCAGCTTTGCATTCATCCAGCCCCGCACATCCTCGCATGATGTGTTCTGCATACACGTTAAAAAGGTTGGGTGAGAGTATGCAGCCTTGCCAGACGCCTTTCCCAATCTTGAACCCGTCTGTTGTTCCGTGGTCAGTTCTGACTGTTGCTCCTTGGTCCTTGTACAGATTCCTCAGGAGAGAGGGAAGGGGGCTTGGGATGCCCATCCCACCAAGAACTTGCCACAATTTATTATGATCCACACAGTCAAAGGCTTTAGAATAGTCAATGAAGCCGAAGTAGATGTTTTTCTGAAACTCCCTGCCTTTCTCCATTATCCAGCGGATATTGGCAATCTGGTCTCTCGTTCCTCTGCCTTTTCTAAACCCAGCTTGAACATCTGGCAACTCTCGCTCCATGTATTGCTGGAGTCTTCTTCCTTGCAGGATCTTGAGCATTACCTTACTGGCATGAGAAATAAGGGCCACTGTACGGAAGTTTGAGCAGTCTTTCGCATTTCCCTTTTTTGGTATGGGGATATAAGTTGATTTTTTTCCAGTCTGATGGCCATTCTTGTGTTTTCCATATTTGCTGGCAAATGGCATGCATCACCTTGACAGCATCATCTTTTAAGATTTTAAACAGTTCAGCTGGGATCCTGTCGTCTCCTGCTGCCTTGTTGTTAGCAATGCTTCTTAAGGCCCATTCAACCTCACTCCTCAGGATGTCTGGTTCTAATTCATTCACCACACTGTCAAAACTATCCTCGATATTATTATCCTTCCTATGCAGATCTTCTGTAAAGATAGATAGATAGAGATATACTTGAGGCTTGTGACATATACACATACATATATATATATACACACATACACACACACTAGCTGTGCCCTGGCCACGCGTTGCTGGGGCCTGAGAAAACAGGAATCCCGGACATGAAACAATCTGGGCTAGGGAACACCTCCCCACAAAGCTTTCCTGTAGGCAGGAAGAAGCCAGGCTTTTAAGCTGCAAGGCTTTTCAAAAGTTATGAAGGTAGGCAATATATGTGTATATATATATGTGTGTATACAAGCCGTTACATACACAAACATATCTGAGAGTTGCAACACACACACAATATTATAGATAGATAGATGATAGATAGATAGATAGATAGATAGATAGAGATACGTGAGGCTTCTGACATACATATATATATATATATATAGAGAGAGAGAGAGAGAATAATAATGATAATATTGATGATAATAATAATGATGATAATAGACCTGGCTATTTGAGAAGGCATTCAACTGAGCGCTACGGCAACTGGTAATTGACAACTGGAACGGAATACGGATTACGATATTGGTTATGATTCTATGATGTGACGGAGCGGATTATTTAGTGTAACTAGATTATAGTGTATTATTGTTGTATTGATTTCCTGTTTTGCCCTTTTTGTAAACTGTTTTTATATGTTGTGCACCGCCGCGAGTCGCCCTAGGGCTGAGAGCGGCGGTCAATAAATGCAGTAAATAAATAAATAAATAAATAAATAAATAAATATATGTACACACACACACCATATTTGATAGTTAGGTAGATAGAAGTACACACAGGAGGCTTGCAATACACACACAATGTTATAGATAGAAAGATAGAGATGTATGTGAGGCTTGCAACAAATATATGTGTGTGTGTATATATATATATATATATATGCGCACACACACCATATTTGATAGCGTTAGGCAGATAGAAATACACACACAGGATGCTTGCAACACACACACAGTATTATAGATAGATAGAAAGACAGATATACACGAGGCTTGCGATATACATATATCAAATATGGTGCCTGTGAAAGTATATTATTGTTATTATTCTCTCTCTCTCTCTCTCTCTCTATATATATATATATATATAGAGAGAGAGAGAATAATAACAATAATATACTTACACAGGCACCATATTTGATAGAGAGTTAGGTAGAAGTACACACACAGGAGGCCTGCAACACACACACAATATTATAGATAGATAGATAGATAGATAGATAGATAGATAGATAGATAGATAGATAGAGATAGATAGATAGATAGATAGATAGATAGATAGATAGAAATATATGCGAGGCTTGCAACATATATATATATACATACATACATACATACATACACACACACACACACATACACATACACATATGCACCATATTTGATATAGAGTTAGGAGGCCTGCAACACACACACAATATTATGAGAGAAAGAGATGTGAGGCTTGTGACATACATATGTATATAAAAAGAGAGAGAGAGAAT